CCTACTACATCAATTGGAGGAAATGCTGCTCTTATAACTTGCATATTTACTACCGATACACTATAAATACTGCGAACTGCTATTATCTCGTTAAGTTGGTGGCTGTTGAGTCACGATTACATCTGAACACTAAATATTCACTGAGAAGAATCTCAGAGGAGCTTACATGATTGGAAATCAATGTTTCGCACAGAAATATAAAATATAAAACTAAGTACTCTATTAATATTTCACGAAATAAAATCAACAGATTCGGAACTGGCATAACAAATCCTGCAAGAAACAAGCGGAAAGTACAGGAGTGGAATGTCAAGGACTAAAGCAGTTATGATAGCATATACAGGGTGTTTTTGAACTTGGCGTCCAAATTTGTAGGGGTGGTAGTTCGCATAATTTGAGAGCGATTGGCAGATTTCATTTTTCTAAAAAAAATATAATAAAGAAAATACAGCCCGTAGTGCCTACTGTTGCACTAATTACTACCTTTCACCTTAATCATAGTTTCCGCAAATTTATAACCTCCAATCTTTGTGGCAGTCGTGGATGGATAAATGTTAAGCTCACTTCACCGTGGCTCCCTGGTTGCCGGGAGAGATGATATTAAAGATAAAACAAAAAAATTATTATATTTTTTGATTTTACAATTATATACATGACATGTCATTAATTTCTATTTTACAATAATTATACTTCTGTAAATATATCTTCAAACAGCTTAAATATTTTATTGATGGGATAAACAAATAAAGTTCCCATACAGCCATTATAAAAAAAATTAAAGAGCAGGTCCTACCCTGAGCGCGGAGCGCAATAGTCCTCAAAAACAGATGCGATTTGCAATTTTGTCGATTCTAAGCGTAGCGCGCACGATTCGAGGCGATCCTATCGCTGTGCAGGACCGTACCTGTTTATAATTTTTAATTAATTTTTAGTTATTATTTTAAATATTTAGGAAAAATGAAATCTGAGAATCGGTCTCAAATTATGTGAACTACCACCCCTACAAATTTGGACGCCAAGTTCGGAAACACCCTGTATACACGATCACGTCATTCACAATGCAACGGATTAAATAAGTTTTGATAACAAATGTCAAAGATGGATTTAAACAGTTTTGAAACAGTAACCGCGATGGATTAAAAAAGTTTTGTTACTGTACGCAATATTCACAATTCAATTTTTAGGGGATTTCTCGAGTTTTGGTGCCAAAATTAGTTGCTGTCATAAAGCTGTTTAAAAAAGGAAGGCGTGCCGCCTGGATCTCAGTTTGGATATAAAATGGATTACAGCAATTTTGGAAATATTCGAGATCCCTAAAGATCATGCGACCAATGTGCCAATATCCTTGAAACGCTTACCTTTCATCCAGTTTCGAACTTTTTTTATGGTATCTCGGCAAGTCATTAATGTCACCCCATTCTTCTATTTCATCAACCATCCTGGCATACACTTCAAGTTCGATCACGAATTTCTCAATCCTAACTTTGAGCGAAGCTTGGAACTCTTCAGTTTTTACATCCACCATCAATCTATGTTCTTCTATTATCTTTGGCATGTACAAATACCTTAAAAATTGATTTACTTGTAGATAAAAGTTTACTAAAGTTAATACGATATATATAGTGTGACGTAATTTTTGTTCTACTGACAGTTAACCTTAAAAAATAAAAACAAACCATTCTGTCAGGGAATTTGAGATATGTTTTTAGTTTTTTAAATATTTTTTGCTGATCGTAGAAAATGTTTTAGCAAAAAATATTGGTGAGCAAAGAAAACTTATATTTGGTGCATTTTTTTTTTTTTTATTAACATAGCAATGTACTTTCGGCATTAAGCCATCTTCAGTGCTTATCTACAATAATTTCGAGTGTAAATATAAATATAACAAATTATTTGAAGATTATAATTTTTTTTAAAAGAACTTTTTTTTTAAATTACAATGTATACAGAATGTTTCAGAATAAAGTACCATAAACAAGTGACTTGTAGAACTAATTAATAAGAAAAACCAATATCGTTTTCCTGTAAAAGTCCCAGTTTTCATTCTACAGGATGATAAAGTTATTTTCATAAATGCATAATTTTCCAAATATCTTCCATTGCGGTAAAGATGTAAGCTTAAAAGTATGTCTGTGTTAGTTATACGTTATTATTAGTTAACACACTGTATTTCGATCATTTACGATAACTCATTGGCGTAGAATCAAGGTTTATGAAAACAATTTTTATCAAAACTTTTTGAACACCCTATATATCATAAAAATTAAGATTAACAATTATTCTTCACGCAATTTGTCTCTGTAGATCATTCCATTTTCGAGATTTTTCAGTTTTAGTCCTACTCAAACATGAAATCTATGTACAATATTATCAAGAATCGATTTCATAATAAATATTAAAAGATCCATTTTCTAATAGGACTAGCTTGTATGTACTTAATGGTCTCCCATTAGTTAATTGACTTTTTAATGTTGATTATGAAATCGGCTCGTAATAAAAATTTCATAATGTGCTTAGATTTCATGTTTGAGTATGTTATGTTGGGAATGGGGTGTTAAGACATTGTGACCTTAAAGACCTATTGTGCCCCCTTCGCTAATTTACCAAGGAAATGACTCAATGCCTATAACGATCCTTCCAATCCTATCTTATCAAGGAAGTATAGGATTTGAAGTGGGTTCAAGTTAGGTAAATCTCCCTCTTCTATTTGATATCCTCCTAGGTATAGTGCCCTTGGATTCTGGAGTACCACACATTCAGTTAGAATATGAAAGGATGTTTCGTCCTTCTCCTCACAGTATCTGCACTCACTATCCTCTAATACTGTCAGTTTACTAAGGCCTGTTATGTCCCGGGACCCAAGTAAGAGTAACTCTATTTTTCTCGCCTAGCTCATTCAATTGTTCTAGGCATCTACAGACCATTTTTGAGCTGATTACGTAAGAGCTCAGCGCTTTGATGGCTGCTTGGCTATCGGACAAGATAATCTCTATGATAGTTTCTCTCAATGTTAAACTGGATACACTTCTCAGTGGAAGATGCTTGGGTATTTTCCCAAGCTTCTGGAGTGCTTGCTTCTCGACCCATACACTCCTATTTCAGTTCCTTCTATGGTTTTGGAACCGTCCATATACCACTGAATAGCATATCTTTCGGTTGCAAGCGCGATAGATTCTTGGCTCCATTCTTTCTTGCAGCCCAACTCTGGTTTTGAAGTTTTTCACAAAACTGTACTTCTTTAGCATTTCATCCTGAGGCATGTCCCAAGTATCTATAGTCCTGACGCAAGTAGACTTTCGTCTGATTACTCCGTTTCTGATAATTCTATATCATGTCCTTTTTACCACATTCTCTATCAAATGTAGAGGGGTGAGGTTTAAGATCACCTCGAGTGGGGCCCTATGGCAGGTTCTCATTGCACCGGTGATGCAAATACAGGCTAGTCTTTGTACTTTTGAGATATTAACTATCGTAGCAACTAAACTAGTTTTGTTACTGCAGGCTATATCCCCGTAAGTGATAATTGGTACATCACTATTGCAGTTTACATCCATCGCAGTATGTTTGGGTTACATCCCCCTCGTTTACATGCAATGTTTCTGCACCATTAGGGCTTTTGTGGCCTTATTTTCTACTTCCTTCTCATGTGTGTTCCAGAGAAGTTTGTTGTCCAGGGTTAGTCCTAGATATTTGACTTTTCGTTTCTATATCTATCCCGTCTAATTTAACGGTTTTGAGATTAAGTTTTCTTTTCCTTGAAAAGGCTACTAGTGTTTTTTTTGTAGGGGTTATACTTCGGTAATAACCTAAATTTTTAATAGCCGAAATTTGATCAGGAATTGGTTTGACTCCAGAGGGGTTTTTTACATGTCCTAAATACATTACTGATTTTTGAAGAAATTTTGATTTGTTTAGCTGAACTTTGTAACGGTTGAAACCGTTTTCGTTATTTAGATCCAAACATTGTAACGGTCGGAACCGTTTTCGTTATTTTGACACCAACATCTCTACTCAAATGTCATTTGTCGTTTATGCCTTATGTCAAAAGTTGATAATTCATTTCGATTTATATCTGTCATCGAGCAAGTTGATTTATTGAATTTTAATTACCTTTTATCTTGGACATCCGATGTACTAATTGTCTTTAATATTTTTAATGACCGTCTGATTTTAAAAAGGTAAGTTTCCTACCGATATTTTGTTGAAAATATATATTTATTACAAGAATTTCTTTATTAAAATGTCAAGTATTGTACATAACCTCAACACATTGAATGACACAAAATCACATGTTTTATATAATTTTATCTATTATTTTGTTAGGATAGAGATAATATGCTTTCTATATTTAAATATGTTAAATAAGACTTTTTCTTTACCTATTAATATTGGTCCCTGTGAAGCTATTCACTACCCAGCTAGCACATAACGTTGCCAAGCCTTTCGGCGATGTTGCATTAAGGGAACGTAATAACATTACTGTACAACGTAAATGCAACGTTCATGAGAAGTTGTTGAGGGAAATCAAAACCTCGCAAAACTTCTATTTGTTATTTACCTAGTTAACCTACCGTAAACATTACAAATCTGAATTCAGAACGTTTAGTTTTATTTCAATTGTCAATTGTCAGTTTTTCTTGTCAATTGTCTTTTTTAATGGTTTATTTTTCGACATCCAGAATTTATTTTATAAATAATTATTATTTATACATTCGAATAGATTTGGTAAGGGTCCTCTATAAAATAGATAACTATTTTCTAAACCATTGTCTTTGTTTCAGAAAACAATGCCTGATGTAAATTTATTATTTCATTCATTAAGTATATCTTTAGCAGTCGATGCGGATGACACCAAATAAAAAAAAACTACAATAAAAACAAAGAATTGCAGATCAATCGTTGTAAACCAGAAGATAAACATTTAACCGAATGTCCGGCAACATTTTACACCAAATACTTATAAAAGGTAATTATACTTTATCGAACTAAAAATACATTTTATAAATATTATTTTTTAGGTTTCCTTCGACATTCTAGGAATTTTAGAAGCAAAAGTAAATACTACA